GTGTGTCCCGCCCCCCAGACCCTCCTCCCCCGCCCCCCCGCAGCTCGGGCCCTGGTCGTGGCGCGGCTGCCGCACGGTGCCCCTCGATGCCCTCCGGACGCGCTGCCTCTGTGACCGGCTCTCCACCTTCGCCATCTTAGCCCAGCTCAGCGCCGACGCGGTGAGACCCCAGCCGGGCGCGCGGCGGGCGGGCGGACGGGGCGGGGGCGCGCGGGGCGGGGGCTTCCGGGGCCGGCGTGGGGAAGGGCGGCTGCGCTCCGCCGCCCCCCGTGGCCTGGCCGGCGGGGCCCGGGCCTCTAGAGAGGACGGGTGGGAGCTGAGTGGGTGGCGATGTGGAGTTGGGGACTGACCTGGGAGGAGCCAGGCCGGGGCCCCAAGAGTGACTGATGGGTGAGTGAGTCCCCCACCCAATCTCTTTGGGGGCCTAGGACCCTGGAGGAAGCCGGTCCTCAGGGGAGCCGGGCAGTCTGGGCCCCCGGCCCTAGGGGCTGGAGGAAGGCTTGGCTTGGCAGAGGCGGGTAGACACCTTCACTTAGTGGGGTTCCTTCCCCCAGCTGGCTGCAGGCTCCTGGCCTGCCTGGGACACGGAGGGGGAGGAGCTGCCACCTTCCTTGGAGTCCTTCCCCACCCACCCCAAGTGGACCGTGGGCTCTGGAGGCAACTGCGTCCCCATGTATGGGTCCCGGGGGTGGAGAGGGTGCTGGGCTTGGCCCAGGTTGGCAGCCCTCCCCGGGAAGGCCCCATCATCTCAGGGGCCTCCTTTTTGTTCTCGTGATTCTTGTGGGGGCTGCCAGTTTCTATGGCGACAGCATCTGGGGCCAGCTTGCTGGCTGGGGCCGGCCAACTGGGGCTGGTGGGCGCTCTTGCCCAGGGCCAAGCCGCACTTGCTGGACCTAGGAAAGCCGGATCCCCCAGCTGGGTCACTAGGCCCCCCGAGGAGGGAAAGGTTAGGGGTCTTTGCTCATTGAGCCCCCCTGGCCCCGGCCTGGTGTGGAAGTATCCTCAGGCGGCAGATATGGAGGACGGACTGGGAGTGGGACACCGATTTGGGGGTGTTTGGGGTGGCTGGCCCTCATCAGATGGGGATGGCGCAGCTCTCTGCTCATGGAACCCCAGTTTCCATGTGGAAGATGGTCCCAGGCCTCTCTGAGAACAGTCTGCCCCCCTCCTTTGTCCTCTGAGACGTGGGGAGAGAGAGCGATATTGTCAGCCAGGATCCCCTGCAGGGTCAGAGCTGGACAGGACCTTAGAGGTCATTGCCACTAACCCTTCTATCGACAGGCAGGGAAATCGAGGCTTGGGGTGGGGGGCTTGCTTAGAGTCTTGGGGTGACTCTCCTGGAGGGGTCTGTGGTCTTGGCCCAGATCCCAGTGTGCCCTCCCCCTCAGGCTGTCCCTGTGACAGGACTGTCGGTGTTGCTGATTCTGGGGACCCGCCCCTGAAGGCAGCAGCCGGGGCCATGCTGGGGGCTCCCCAGAAGAGATGGCTTTCTGCACAGGGGAGCAACCAGTGGGGCTGGGACATCCTGGGTCCCCTGCGAGGCTGGACCAAGCAGGGCAGGGCCCGCCTTGGGGGCTGCCCTTCCTTGGGGGGCAGGGGGGGCTCCAGAGCGGGACGCTTGTCCAGATCCCCTCTCCCAACCCAGGGTCTTGCCTGTAGGAGGTCAGTGCCAGTCGAATCTTGAAATGCAGGCTTGTCCCTTACACACGGTGACCCTAGACTGGCCTTCAGTCTCTCTGAGCCTCGGTTTCTTCACCTGCAAAACGGAAATGGCCCCATGCTGCTCCGGGCGGCTGCGAGGGCTTCGCCGGTTGACAGGGACCCTCCTGGACGGGGCCTGGAGCGTGGCAGGGCCACTGCATCCTCGAGAGGTGGCATCCCGCTCGGGGGCTGAGCCCAGGGCCACCTGGCATGGAGAGCGTGTTGGGTGAGGGGTGAGCAGCTGACGCTGGTGGAACTCGGGGGTGGAGGAGTGGGATGCCCAGGGGGCCTTTCTCGGAAGAGCTGACCTGTAGCGGGGCCTCTGAGGGTGCGCGGACGGGCGCCCTGTGCCAGGACGGGAGCCCTGTGCCAGGACGGGCGCCCTGTGCCAGGACGGGAGCCCTGTGCCAGGACAGGCAGGCAGAGCTTTGGTCTCTGAAGGGTTCAAGTCTTTGCTTGGCAGGGTGCTCGGCAGCTGCAGTCAGAGGGGCATCTGGTGTCAGCCTGATCTGCACAGGAGGGTGAGACGCAGGCTGGCAGGTCGGGGCACCCCATCCCCACATCCCAGAAGAGGCAGCTGAGTCTGAGGGTTCGGGAGCCGTCAGTGGCCACAGAGCCACCCACTGGCCATGGGACCAAGGACAGGCTGCCTGGCCGCGGGGAGCCTCGGTTTCCTCCTCTGTCCGATGGCACAGTAGTGGGCTCTGGCTGACCCTGTGACCCCCTGAAGGCCTGGGCGTGGCTCAGAGGAGCATGCTGGGAGGGCGTGGGGGGGTGGGGGGGCTTGGCCTGTGCTGGGTTGCTCGCCTGTGCTCACCTGCTCTCAGAGCCATCGCCACCTTCCTCTCTTCTCCCAGCCAGCTCTGGCCCCAGAGATGCTGAGTGGGCAAGGGCCGAGAGGGAGAGGGAGACTGCTGGCCTGCAGCCCATCACGCCGTGCCGACCCCTCTGAGTGCCTGCGACTGGGCCCTCGAGGGGCACGGGGTCTGAAGGGGAGACAAGCCCAGGCTGGAGAGAGGAGGTGCTCTGGGGGCTCAGCACCAGCCTCCCTTCCAGGGGTAGCTTGGGAGACGGGCACGAGGAGGAGGTGTAGAATAGGGCCCTGAGGGGTGAGCAGGAGTTCCCAGCAGGCTCGGCGGGGAGGAGGGATGGTCGCCCCAGGGACGGGGAGAAAGGCAAGAAGCAAGCGGAAGATCGGGTGGAGCTCGGCGGGCAGGCAGGGCGGGGGTGCGGGCGCTGCCGCGAGGCCGGGGCCCAGCGAGCTAGAGCTTCAGCCCGAGGTCCAGGGAGCTGGGTGGCTGGGAGGTGGTGGGCTTGGGTCCTGGAGGGATCCCAGCAGGCGTGAGGGCAGAATAACCCACCAGCAGGTGGGGTGGTAGCAGCGGAGAGCTGGGCTGTGGGTGGGGGTGGATGCTGCCCGTCTCCACCCGCAGAGTTGGGTGTGTGCGTGGGGCGTGGGGATTCGGTCTGAGCGGGCAGAGGCCGCTGGCATCTCGGGGTATGGAGTGGTCTCGGGACCGGAGTCCAGAGCAAGGCCCCCAGAGAGGACGGAAGAGAAGGGGTGCTGTGGTCACACCCCAGGAGCCAGGGAAGGGTTAGATCCGGGGGGCATGGAGTGGAGGAAGATGAGACCATCCCCCCCTCGCGTGCAGCCGGAGTGTCAGGTCCCGGCTGTGCCGCTGCAGGCCTGTGACCACGGAGGGTTGAGTAACTGCTCTGAGTCACATCTGAGGGGGCGAGGCCACCTGCCTCAGCCTGGTGGGGACTGAACCTGTTGAGGTATTTACAGCATCCACACAGCCTGGCGTGTAGTAAACAGTCTGTAAGGCGTAGTTGTTGGAGGCGTCGCTTCTGTGATGTGCCCGAAACTGGGCTACGAATCTGACCAGAATCAAGGCTCAGCGTGTGCCCGGGATCAGGGGTCAGGCAATGTTGGAGTAGGGCTCGTTCACGTGGGTAGCTGTGAGCCACGTGTGGTGTTGGAGCGGAGACGGGATAAAGACAGCACCATAGGAAGGAAATCAGTGTTTAGGGCACATGAGACATGGAAGAGTTGGGAGAAGATTGCAGGTAGGGAATTCACGTGGTGGAAACTGACAACGACCACGTAAATGACAAAGAAGTAAAGGTGGGGGGTGGGGAGGGTCTGGTGCCCTGAAGAGACTCAAGACAAGGGGACGGGCAGAGAGATGAGGGGCTGGCTCAGATTGAATGTCCAGCGAGAGCCTCTGTGAGGAGGCGACAGCCAAGCCGAGAGAAGAGCCAGCCGTGTGAAGGTCAGGGGAAGAGCGCTGGGTGGCGGGACCAGCATGTGCAAAGGCCCTGGGGTGGCTCGGAGCCTGGCTGGGGAGCCAGTCTCCAGCAGGAGGCCAGCCTGCTTCTGCCTGATCTCTGTGTGGATTGGGACCAGTCTCTCACCCTTGAGGTCTCCGGTCCAGCCCTCCCAACAAGACCTTGAGATCCCTGACACTCCTGCCCACATTGTTGAGAACGTGCAGGGCTAGGGCTGTCAGGAGTGACGGATGAGCCAGGCGGAGAGGAGGAGGAGGGCACGGGAGGGCAGGTGGGCGAGATGGCGGGCGTGCGGCTGCCAGGCCTAATGAGGGCAGATGGAGGCAGATGGCCACAGAGGTCGGGGCCAGAGCCAGCCACGAAGCAGGCCTGAGCCACTTACTCGGTCACCCATGACTTGCGTGGCTGGCCGGGCCTCTGAGGTTACCTGGTGAGTTCAGGGGTGCTGGCCGCAACCCGGAGCCCTCCATCTGCCTGTATGGAAACACAGAAGTTTGTGCTGGAGCCTCACCCGGGCCAGGCCCCCAGGGATCGCTGATGCCTGGGTGACCTTGAACGACTTTCTCGATTTTCCTGGAGCCTCTGCCTTCCTGGTCTCCATTCATCCAGGCAGTCACATTGACCAAGCGTCCACGCCAGGCCTGGCCACAGGGGGCTCGCAGACATGAGGAGACCGGGCTGCAGGGACAGACAGGCACCCCCAGCCGTGGGACAGGGCTGGGACAGAGGGACAGCAGAGGGACCTGGGGGCGGGAGGTGGTGCCTCCAGTGTGGGGAAGGGCAGTCCAGGCCTCGGATGGAGAGCACAGCACGGTCACCATGGTGGGGGGCGGGGGAGGCAGCTGTGTCAAGTGGGGTGGGCCCTGGGGTGCCCTGTGCAGGAGCCCCGGGAACTTAGGCTCCCAAGGAAGGTGGAAGGTCCCATCTGAGGGCAGAAAGGGCCACCGTGGCTTTAGGAAGTGGGTGGGAGTCTCGCTTTGCCACGTGCTGGGGTCAGCAGGGGGTCTGAAGGGTGTCGGCCAAGTTAGACTTGGGACGGGCAGGAAGGTGTCAGCTCTGGGGTGGGGAAGCCCACGAGAAGCCCCTTGTCCCCTGGCCGAGCTTTCCCGTCATCTCCAGCCCTGGAAGCGGTGGGCACTCGCTCTCTCCAGTCCCTCCATTTGTCTTTGGGTTTTGGACACAGAGGGACCTGGGTCATTCCTCAGCAAGCACACGTGGTCCGCCTGCCGTGTGTGCTGGGCACTGGGCTGTGGTGTGGTCGTGGTTCACGCGGTCACGTCGGGGGGCACACAGGGATGTGTAAGCAAGGACCAGCCGGTGCTTAGGGCTGCACTGGGCCACGTGGTGGGGAGCAGTGGGGTCCGTTGGCCTCTCTGAGAAGGGACAAGTGAAGACCAGAATGGCCCGAGATACTGCCACGCAACGGCTGGGCAGGGCATCCTGGCATAGGGAATGGCTGAGCCAGGCGCTGAGTGGGAAAGAGGGGGCAGCCCCGTGCGGGGGGGTGGTCTCACGAGCTGAAGGGGGGCAGGGCCAGACGTGGTGGCCTTTGGGGCCTTCGGACACAACTTGGGCCGTGGTGGGGTGGCATGGGAGACTCTGAGACTGGCTGCTGCTTGGGGAAGAGCCCGGGGGCTGGCCTGGGGGCATGGAGGGCAGAGGCCCAGCCCAGATGGAAGGGGCCCGCTGGAGGGAGGAGGTGGATGAGCACCTGGTGCAGGCTGTGGGTGGAGCGGCTGTCAGGGAGGGGCCAGGTCTGGAGGGGTGGGTGCTGAGTGCCCCGTTAGATGCAGCTGGAGCTCTGGGCCCCTTTCAGAGAGCGGTGGCTTCTGCCCGCGGCCGGAACTGCAGAGCCACGGAGCCGGGGAGAGCTGTCCGTGGCGGGGCGCTGGGCCTGCTGCCTCCGTGACCTCACCTGTGACTCAGGGTGGGGGAGTCCTTCCCTGGGATTGGTGGGGGACATATTGCCAGGCTGGGCACGCGACTCATTCTACCAGTGGGGCCGGGGCGGGGCACAGACGAAGACCCTGCCCTCAGCAGGGGGTGAGACCCCTCGCCGGGGACAGCCCAGGCCAGAAGGTGCTGGCGTGGGGGGTGCTCAGAGCGCTGCAGGAGGGCAGCCGAGGGCTGCTGGGCAGGGGCGCCTGCGGAGAATGCAGGGGTGGAGGGGGAAGGCTCCCCCGGCGCCCCCCACGGCCTGCAGGACCCTCAGTCTGCATGTCTGCCTGGGCCCCCTCACCCTGTTCTCTGTCCCCGGCCCCGGAACCCACCAGAACATGGAGAAGGCGATCGTGCCGTCGGTGGCGCTCATCGTGGGCTGCGGCGTGTCGTCCCTGACCCTGCTCATGCTCATCATCATCTACGCGTCCGTGTGGAGGTGCGGCGTGGGGCGGGCGGGGGGGGGGGGGGGGGGGGGGGGGGGGGGGGAGCGGACGCTGCAGGCACTTCCCAGGAAGGGGCTGACTGGGGTCGAGTCTCATCCCTTCTCCCATCAAGGGCAGCCGTGGGGTGCGGGGACCCAGCATCCTTCCTCCCCAGCTTCCCAGTTAGCAGCATCTGTCACTCCGTCGTCACCACCACCCCGCCCTCCCTGGTGGCTGCTCCGTGGAGGCTGCGTGGCACTGATGGTGGGGGCACAGGTGCAGGCCAGGGATGCCAGGCCTGCCTGCTCCTGCATGGCGCTGGGCCCGCACCACCACTCACAGGGGCTGGCAGGTGCGCCCCGAGCCCACTCCCCAGCTGAGCACCCTGCCCCGTGACCACGGGGACCCCAAGATCACGACTTCCCTGCCTGTTGTCTGTTCCGTCATGTGGATGTGCAGGGTCACTCCCCAAGCCCGGGGTCAAGTGTCAGGATGGGGGTCTCTGCTGGGCCGCCTGCCCCACACCCCTTCCCCCAGGCCACAAGGCCTCTTCACAGACCCCTGTGCCCTGGGTGCTGTCTGACCAGTGTTGGCCCCTGGGGTGTGGGGCGACCCCGTCGCTGCCGGTCACCAGCCCTGGGGCAAGGGACACGTGTGCACAGACTCCCTTCCCCCAAGCGTCCCACTTTGGGCCCGGAGGAGCCGGGGTTTGGGACAGTAGGACAGGGAGGGTCAAGCCAAGGTCACCCACCCAGCAGCCACCCGCTGGGCCCAGCCAGATTCCCAGTGTGTCAGCTCCAAGGGCAGCACGATGTCAGCCAGAGGCCAGCGAGGAGGGGTCGATGTGGCCATTGGGGGAGGGGTGGCCTCTGCTTTCCTGCCCCCCACCACCCCATCCTGCCCAAGGGCAGAGGCACCAGAGGGTCAGTGACCCGGAAACATCCAGTGCCCCTCCCACCAGCCCCTGCCCAGACCATCTGTCCTGAATCCCCTGGAGGCGTGCTTGGCCCCCTGGCCCAGCGCCTCCCCCGAGGCCGCTGTGGTTCTGAGGTTTTGGCCCACGGTCTTCAAACACCTCCTTGCCTGTGAGCTGTGTTCAGGACCCCGTGGAGTTGGCGACCCTGAGAGGGAACGTGGTGGTGGGGGAGCTGGAGACGGTGGGGGTGACGGTGCCGGTACTGGCAGCGGTGCCTGCGGGGAGGAGGTGGCGCTGGCCTTGGTGGCCACAGCACCCCGGTTCTTGTGAAGCTGAGACCCTTCCGGACGCCGATCATGGCCGCCCACCCTCTCCCACAGGTACATCCGCTCGGAGCGGTCCGTCATCCTTATCAACTTCTGCCTGTCCATCATCTCCTCCAACGCCCTCATCCTCGTCGGGCAGACCCAGACCCGCAATAAGGTACGCGGCCTGTGCCGTGCCGCGCGCCAGCGTCCCAGGCTGCGGGGCGCCGATGGCGGTGATGGTGAGCGTGCACAGCAGAAGCTTAGGGAGGAGGGTGCCACAGCTGTGCGGACCCCCTTGCTGTCCTTTGGCCGCAGCAGCCGCGTGGCTCGGTCCGGAGGGGCCTGTCACCTGGCCAGGGCGTGGGGACACCTGGCCCGGGCGTGGGGACTTGGTGTCCGGAGCCTCCAGCTGGACTGGCGCTTTGACATGAGCCAGCTCAAGCCCCGGCCCCGGCCCACCATTGGTACCAGGCTGTCGCCGTGTGGCCTCCGGGGGACCAGCTGCTGAGCGGGTGGGCTCCTGCGGCGTTCGGTGCGTGTGTGAGTGGGTGAGGAAGCCGGGGAGAGGGGTGTCTGTCCCTGGCATTGGTGGGTGGAGTCGCGCAAGCACCCACCAGGACCGCGATGTACCACAGCCCATCTCAGGGTGGTGGAGCGGGTGAGCACTGGCTGGCGTCCTACCTGGGGAGTTGATTTGGTCACTGTGCGGACGCTGGACTCGGGCCCTCGCCGGGGCAGGCGGAGTCACCGGGGCAGGCGGGGTCGCCGGGGCAGGCGGGGTCAGGTGAGCGAGCGCCTCTCCGCCTCTCCCACCGCGCAGGTGGTGTGCACGCTGGTGGCCGCCTTCCTGCACTTCTTCTTTCTGTCCTCCTTCTGCTGGGTGCTCACCGAGGCCTGGCAGTCCTACATGGCCGTGACGGGCCGCCTCCGGAACCGCCTGGTCCGCAAGCGCTTCCTGTGCCTGGGCTGGGGTGAGCGCCACGGGGCCGACGGGCGGCGGGGCCCCCCTCTCTGACCCGGCCCTCCTCCCGGCCCCTGGCAGCTCTCTCTCCTCTGAGCTTCCCTCCAGGCCTCCACTCCAAGGGGTTGCCTCGTTGTGTTTGAATGTCAGGTGAGGGAATAACTCTGTGGTATGAGGACGCCCCATCCATTATTGGGGCTATACTTGTGATAGAAAGTTTTTCCATTTTTTATCTGAAATTCAGACGCGGCCAGGCGTCCCGTCTTACTTGCTGATCCGGCGCCCCCCCCCCCATTTCTGTGGGTCCTCATCCTGTCCACCTCCTGTCCCCTTTCTCACATGCTCAGTGTCACCCTCTGTTCAGGGGCTTCAGAGGTGCGTTTTGTTCCCCTTCCTGAGACGGGCGGGGCCTTGGGCAGTGGGGAGACCGACACCCTTTCTTTCTGCTCCTCCCCTAGGGCTCCCTGCGCTGGTCGTGGCCATTTCTGTGGGATTTACCAAGGCCAGAGGGTACAGCACCATGAACTAGTGAGTCGGGGCGGGGTGGGGACGTGGTGGAGGCCGCACGGCTCCCCCAGACCCTCCCCCTGCCCTAGAAGGTGAGGGCTGGCTGGGCGCCCATCTCACAGATGAGAGAGTCAAGGTTGGGCGAGAGTGAGGGCCCCGGGAGCTGGAGGCCGGGCCCTGGGGAGGCACCTGCCTCCCATCAGCCAACTCCTCCCGGCGGTGGGCAGCGGGGTGAAGAGAAACAGGGCTTGGGGCGGTTGGAGCCTCATTTCCTCCTTCCATGGCCTTGGACAGGTGCCTTAGCCTCTCAGAGCCTCAGTTTCCCCATCCGCATGATAGGGGATGCGCCCCTGCACCAGTGTGGGGATAAGGGGGGCTGTATGGCCCCTGGGCAGGCGGGGCAGGTGGGGGTGCCCATTTCACAGATGAAGTCACTGAGGCCCTGAAGGGTCGGCTGGGTCAGGTCCAGGGGCCTCAAATGCCAAGCCAGGAAGCTCGGGATTATCCTGGAGGCCGTGTGGCTTCCCAAGATGGGGGGAAAGGAGCCAAGGCCTGGGGGGCCATGGCTGTGGATGTGGGGAAGAACGGGCAGTGAGAGCCAGGAGGAGGGGCCGACAGGGCTGCGCAGGCCTGGCCCACTGCAGAGCCCCAGGGGGACAGGACGTGACCAGGCCCTGAGGCGCCCCCCTGCACTCGAATGAGGACCCGTGGGGTGAGTACTGGGAAGGAAGTTTGAACACCATCCCCAGGGCTGACAGGAAGGAGCACCCAGCCTGCTGGGCTCAGGGATGCATCAGGAGGAGGCGGGGTGTCGCAGCGGGATTCTGAAGGATGGAGAGCTGTGCACTGGGCACATGGTGTGGCATAGAGAGCTCGGGGCAGAGGACACAGCACGTGCAGGAAGCCGAGCAGCCTTCACTGGGCTCAGGGCTCCTGTGGACTGCCCTGGGTGGTGCCCAGGAGATTTGGGGAAGTAAGGCTGGGGCTGGTGACCGAGTTTGGTGGAGGGCGCAGGTCATGGTGTGAGCAGAGGGCCTGGGTTGAGTGGGTGGGTGGAAGTCCAGGCCGTGGACCCAGCCCAACAATTTGGCATCACGTCAGGAAAGAGGGTCTGCACGTGAGATTGGGGAGGGTCTGTGAGGCAAGTTGGGGAGCCCAGGCCTGGGGGGAGAGTCGGGGGAGGGGGATGGTCAGGGTCCCTTCCTCTGGCGGCCTGGCCCTCTGCTGTGTGGTCCCCTGCTGTGGACCTGCTTCTTCATCCGTAAACTTCATCTGTCAGCTGTCTGGGGGCTCCCGTGGGTTCTGAAGCTAAAGAACGTGCGGTCACCTGGCTTCCTCCTGCCCCTTCTCAGCGTCACGCCGCCCTCCTGGGAAGCTGGTGGTGCCCAGGGTGTGACTGGATGGGGGCTCACGCCTGGTCGCTAACCAGCCTGTCTCCCTCCCCAGCTGCTGGCTCTCCCTGGAGGGGGGACTGCTGTATGCCTTCGTGGGACCGGCCGCGGCCGTCGTGCTGGTACTGACCCCCGTCCCGACATCCCAGGCTGAGCCCCTCGCCTCCCCCTGGGTCGAACTTGGGTTTTACCTGCTGCCCCATCAGGGTTGCCAAGGTCACCAGGGGTGGGTGGTGTCCACAGATTCCCCCCCTCCCCGACCTGCCGCAGGTGTGCAGAGGCACGGCTGGGCTGGCGGCCTTGTGTTTCTCTGAGCACATTCTGCCTGATGGCTGGACCCCGGCGGTGTACCTGTCAGGAGGCCTTACAGATTTGATGAGCGAGTGACCATAGGGCGGGGAAGGCGGACAGGCGGATGACCGGGACAGCAGGGGCGTGGCTGGGCCTGGGACTTTTCCCTCGATGGGGAGCCCGTCGCCCCCGGAGGAGGGAAGCACCTCCCCTTGCTTGATCCTCAGTGGGTTTTTTTCCTGCTGTGCCCACATCCGCTCAGTGAGGGTTGAGAGACAGTGCCACACGCACACAGGGTTATTGTCACCCGGTTACGGATGAGCAGGGCGAGGCTGGGGGGTATCCCGAGATCGATGGCTTCTGCCAGGCCTGGCTCAGAGCCCATCTCGCCCTCCCCTCCCGCCTGCCCCCAGGAAAGGGCATCGCATCTGCAGAGTCCTGCTGTCCGGGCAGGGCCACACCTTGTTGCCCAGGGCACCCAGGGGAGGCTGAGCCTGCCGGGGGCACGAGTTGGGGGAGCCGGGGGGGGGGTGGCATTAGTGGGCAGAATCCGTGGGCCAGCCCCAGCCAGAACCAGCTCCTTTATTCCTGGAAGACGGCGGGCAGGGAAGCGGCAGTGTGCCGGGCATTTGAATGCCACTAGGCAGTGGGCCGGGCCTTCTAAGGGCAGGCGCCCCAGGAGGGGCAGGGGGGGGGATGTCAGAGGCAGGAGCCCCCCAGGTCCCTTCCCACAAAGCATCTGGAGGGCAGGGCCGGTCCTGACCCGCCGTGCGCTCCTGCCCGGGGCTCCTCCCGTAACACAGGGGACACGCAGGGAAAGGCAGGCACAGAGCCTGCTGCAGGCGGGGCGGCGGCCACTGGTGTCCTGCCCTCTCCCGCCCCAGCGCTGCCACCCGGGAAAGCTGCTTTCACCCAGACGGCCAGGAGGCAGGGCTGGGGTGTGTGTGCGGCCACGAGCTTGGCTCTGTGGGGCTGCGGGGAGTCGGCCTCCCCAGACCTCCGGGTCCAGGGACCCATGGAGTCCCTGTCCCCGCCTGAGACGCAGGAACGTGGCTGGGGGTCAGGTAGCCTCTCTGCAGAGTGGAAGCCCTAGGGGAGTGAGGATGTGAGCTGGGAGCCCCCTCCACGCAGGCGAGGAGGCCAGAGGGGAGGGGAGACCAGGGCCTGCAGGCCGTGGAGGAGGTGGATGGCTGGGACGCTGGGGCAGCTTCTCTTTGTCTAGGCGGCAGTCTGGGGGGGCAGTAGGAGAGTAGCCTCAACACCCAGAAGCACCTCCAGGGCCAGGTGCCCCGCGGTGGGGGATTGAGGGAAGAGGCCTGCGGGGTGGCAGCCCTGGCTTAAGGCCCCGAAAGGGCTGCGCGGCGCGGAGAGCAGTGTGGCTCCGGCAGAGCCAGGCAGGAGGCGTCCCGGGGAGGCGTCAGGTCCAGCTTGAGCTGGGCGAGCTCGTGTGTGGAAGGCGCACGAGTTGCAGGGGCGCTAAGGAGGGGACGCGGGGCGAGCCTGGGTGTGGGCGGCGGCTGGACTGGAGGCCCCCTGAGGTCCCTTCTGTGGTCTGAGTGGGACAAGTGCCCCAGCAGCGTGGTTCGGCCAGCCCGCTCGCGTGTTTGACTGTTCTGGTCAGTCCCACTCCGGGCAGGGGCAGCCTCACCGTGACCCCAGCCCGACCTCTGACCTCTGGACTCCATCCCTGATGGAATCCCAGCTTCATAAACTGCCGACCCCAGTGGCGATGGCCATGGGCCTGGGGACCCGTCATGTGGGAGGCTCGAGACGCGGTGCCCAGCCCTGGGCGGGGGGTGGGGGGGTGGGGGCCGTGTGGCACGGAGAACCCCACCTAGCGGCTGGGGCTGTGGGAGGAGACGGTGGGGTAAAGGGACGACAGCGTGAGAGCAGCCGGCAGAGCCCCCCTCCTGACCCGGGGGCCCCCCACAGCCGCCCCTCCCTGCCCCGCAGGTGAACACATGGTCCCCCTCCTGACCCGGGGGCCCCCCACAGCCGCCCCTCCCTGCCCCGCAGGTGAACATGGTCATCGGGATCCTGGTGTTTAACAAGCTCGTGTCCAAGGACGGCATCACTGACAAGAAGCTGAAGGAGAGAGCAGGGTAGGACGGGGCCGCCGCGCCACGCCCCACCTGCAGTCCAAACGACCCAGAGCCCAGCCACCCTCGAGCCCCACCCCCCTCCCAAGCAAGTAGGAAATGGAGGCGCAGAGGGCTGCGTGGCCAGCCCCGCCTTGCTTTGTGCCTCAGTTTCCCCATCTGCCCCATGACAGAGCAGGGCCTCCGTAAGTTCTCAGAAACGATGGAACTGATCGCTTTTGGAGACCCCAGGCCCACCAGAGTAGGGGGAGGGTGCCCCGGGCTTCTCCCTTCCCCACCGTGGGGTTGGGTGACCCTGAACCAGGACGTGGCCTGCCCATCCTTGTGATGCCTTCAGCATGGGGACAGTGCAGGGGCCGGGCCGGATGTTCCTCCCACCTGGGAGCCTGAGCTCAGAGAGGGCAGTGCCTGGCCAGAGGGCGCACAGCACTGCAGGTGGGCGGTCCTGAGTGGCTGTGGTGCCCAGCCCTGGGGGAGGAGCAAGCTTGGAAGGGTGCTTCTCCTCCGGCTGCCAGGGGACAGGAGCACCCTGGTCTCGGCGGCCCTGCCATCACGGGTGGGGCCAACTGTGGGCTGGGACAGGCCCCCTCTCTCCTGCCCCAGCACTGAGCCGTCCTCACCTCGCCTCTGCCCACTGCTCTGTCTGTCCCTCTGCCCTGACTGGTGTCTGCGTGGGGGTCCCCACCCCCTCCTCCACCACCCCTCCGTGCCAGTCCTGCTTGGTCTCTGTCTCTCATTGTCTCTCTCCCTCCCCCTGTCTTCCTGCTCTTGCTTTTCCCCGGGAACGAGAGCTTCTGGAATCCTTCCCCTTGGGTCCCTGGTGGGTTCTGTCCTGGTTAGAAACTTGTTTTGGGGGAGGAGTGTGACCCTGGAGAGCCTGCGGTGGCTGGGAGCCTGTCCTGACCGTCTGTGGGCCTGGGTCCTACACTCTCTGGGCCTCTTCTCTGAGTCTGTGAAGTGGGGATTGGCAGGCTCACCCCCCCCCCAGCCCAGCCCAGTGCACACTGCCACCCACACGTGCTCCCAGAACAGTGGGTCACACACGGAGGAGGCCCCGGGGTGCGCAGGGGGTCGGCGCCAGTGAGGCGCGGCGCGCCCACCCCGCAGCACTGTCTCATTTGCTCCCTGCAGTAACTCTTGAGGCAGGGTCTGCTGTCTTGTGCCCACTTCACAGCTGAGCAGACCGAGGCTGAGGCCTGGGAGTGGCTGGTGGAGCAGGGCTGGGCTGCTAAATCAGAGCCCAGTGTGTCCGGGTGGCCCCCTGCGCCGTTGGGCCCCTTCCCCAGGTGCAGCGGTGCCACGGCTCAGCAGCTCGCGAGGACCCGCCCGTGAGGCCGCAGCAGCCCTGCTCCCACCCAGACAGGAGGCACCCCATGCTCTCTGTGCCCACGCGCACAGGCACACACGCTCAGGGCTGGCAGGGAGGCCACTGCCCAGGTAGCTCACAGACGCCCCCGCTGACCGTCTGGCGAACCCCTTGCTCCTTGGCGGGGGCAGTGCCTGGTCAGACCAGATGTGGGCCGACCAGAGGGAAGGGACAGGCTGCGCCCAGGTGTCCTGCGTTTTTGTGTGAATGTGGGCGGATAGCGTCACCCTCCCGCTGGACGTGGACGCACACGGGTCCCAGCCCTGCCCTGCCTCAGGCCAGCCGCGTCCAGCCCCCGCTCTCCACCCCTGCCCCCGCCGGGCTCCGGGTGTGTCAGGTGGAAAGAGGCCTGAGGACCCCGTCCCCGCCCACAGCGCCCCGGGGCCCTGTCCCCGCCGGGGGAGGCTCGGGCTGGACGCCATCTGGTTGCTTTTGCTGTCCCCGCCCCCACCCCCACCCCGTGTCTGCCAGAACAGTTTTGCTTTCGTTTCAGTCTTTTAATTTCACTTGCAGTCAGCTGCCCCGGGCCCCCCTCGGGCGCGCCCTCAAATGTGCCGAGTGTGGAGCCCTCTCTGCGGCCGCCGCCACCTCCGAAGCCGCCAGTAACGCCATGTTAGTGCCGCTCATCGCCCGCCCGTCCGCCCGCCCGCCGGGCTCTGCTCGCCTCAGTTACATTTTGTTTGTTTTAAGCTTTTTCTGTCATTTCTGTCATCTCTGCCGTCCACCCCAGGGGGCCTAGGCAGCCCCTGCCCGCCCCCCCCATGCTCTGGCACCTCGTTTCCTGCCCTGCCCCCACCCCTCCCCGGCCAGGCTCCCCCAGTCCATCCTCCGGGGCCTCGCGGTATCAGACTGACCGGAGGGCAGGGAGCCGGGCCAGGCCTCGGGCCGCGAGAACACAGTCAGCTGGTGGCCGTCATCAGCGTGTGGTCACGCTGGGGTCGCAGCCCTCTGCGTGAGTGTGCAGGAGTGCGGCTTGTGTACGTGTCGGTCATGAATTTGAATGTGAGCGTGAGAGGCAGGCGTGGCCTTGGAAACAGGACGTGCTGGGGCAGCTGGCTTGTTCGCTGACCCCGGGCCGCCACCAGGGGTCTGTGAGCGGGGCAGGACCAGTGCGACCTGGGGTCCAGGGTGGATGCCAAATCCAGAGGGACCTTGGCTCAGATGACCCGAGAGTGGTCGTCTTGTCCCCAGACACACAGGTCCCCTGGGACCCTCCTGTTTGCTTCCTGGGATTCAGGGGCCCCGTGGAGAGGGCACTCCTGGCCGCGGGGAGCGAGTGAGCAGAGGTGGACACGGTTCCGGGGTGGGGACTTGTCCGGTGGAGCCAGAAACCTCCGGGAGGGCAGGCTGCTCCTCCCTGCTGGGGTCCACGGCCCAGGCGCCCTGGGTCTCCTTTGTTACACACGCAGGCCTGTGGGGTGGAGGACACAGCCTCCCAGCAGCCCTGCCCGCCCCCCCGCTGCCCCCATCCACACTCAAAGCCCCTCCCCCAGAGGCATCTGAGTTTCCAAAGGGGGGCGGGTGGTGCAGCTGCCGGGCCTCTCCCCCACCCGCCTCCTGTCCTCCCCAGTAGTCACGCCTGGACCTGCGTGACCCCTCCACAAGGCTCTCTGCAGAAATGTTTCAGAAACTGCAGAGGCTGGGCTGCAAGAATTTGAATAATTTACGGGTCCCCAAGCCCCGGCCATCTGCCAGCCTACTGCAGCATCAGGCAGTAAATGCCAGGCCTCAGGCCCGAGGGAAGATGACTCACGGTGGGATGGGAAGTTTCGGTGGGTGGGGGGGTCTGCGCCTCTTGCTCAGAACACGAGGAGCCGTGTCCAGGGCTCTGGCTCGAGCAGGCCTGCTTTGGAAGGGAGGAGACAGACTGCAGCGCCCCACCTGCCGCGGTGGGCACACTGAGGCCAGGCTGCCGTCACGGGAAGGCCCCCTTCTCTCAGGCCCTGTGCCAGGTGCGGCACAGCAGGTATGGAGGGGAGAACGCCCGCAGGTGCAGGTACCCCGCCCGGGAGGCCTCCGCCTGGATTGCCTGTCCTCAGTGCCGAGGGGGGCAGCAGGGCCCTGGAAGGGGAGGCGAGGAGAGCGGTCCGAGGTCTAGTTCTGGAGCCCGTGCTGTGCCCAGGGAAGAGGCGTGGGTGCTTCAGGGTGAGCGGTGGCTCTGGCCTGAGCCGCCGGGCAGGGGCCGGAGAGCCGTCCCCTGAGCTGGGGCAGGCCTTGGGAGGGGCAGGGTTAGAGGCTGCGTCCTGGAGGAGATACGGGGCTGGCCCTGGGACGGGGGACCCGGGTCACAGAGACGAGCTGAGGCGGACGTGGAGGCCCAGGGCCCTGCCTAGGGGGCGTGAGGGCAGAAGTTCCCCGCGGGGCTGGGCCCCTTGCAGGTCCAGTTGCAGGGGTGACGCGGCTTCAGTGGCTGAGCCAGGCTGGAGAGGGTGGAGAAACAGAGTGTACAGCCTGGGGGCGACCTCTGCCCCCGCCCCGGTCAAGGCCCCGCTGGTTTGGGGGTCCTTGACCTGGCCGGACACCAGCCTGTCTCCCCCCAGCCCCGGTGCCCCCAGCTCCTTCCTGGTGGCCTCCCCGAGGTTCTGTCCCACCTGTTCCTGCCTCTCCTTTTGACCAGGGTGATCCATAAGGGAGGAGGGGGTCCCGATGCCCCCACCCCTGGTGATAGTGGCAGGAACGCCGGGAGCCCCTGCAGGCAGTCGCCGGCCCGGGGGGCAGAGCTGACCCTGGCTATGGTCCTCAGGCCGCAGTGGCCCTGAGACTGGTGGTAGCGGCGGGGACGGGGTGGGGGTGGGTCAGGCAGGTTTCCGACCCTGTACTCCAGGCATCCTGCTGGTGCGCTGCCTGTCCCCACTCAGCCCCTTGGCTGGCGTAGTGTCCCTGCTGTGCGGACCGGGAGACAGGCTCAGAGTGGCCATGTGTGTAGGTGGTGCAGGGAGGGGCCGGCTGCAGAGGGCCATGCCTGCCTTGGGGGTGCTCCTGGAGCACTACTTGGAAGAAGGGGCAAAGGCTTCGGAGCAAAGGCAGGTCCTCCCCTGGGGAGGGCAGAGCAGGGCCCGCCAAGAGGAGGAAGCGCCTGTCGTCTCTGTTCCTGTCTGTCTGTCTGTCCGCCCCATGCCCTCCCCGCCTGGCCCTGTCTGTCTGTCATCTGTCTTCTTTCCTCACAGGTTTCTTCCTTCCTTCTCCCTGAGGAGTTCTCTGGTTTTCCCCCACCCCGCCCCCTTCTCTCTGTCCAGAGCTCAGAGGCCTCACCAAATGCCCTCCCCTGTGGCCATCTTGCAGTTCTGGCCCTGGACCCCTGGCTGGGGGCCTGAGGGCTCTGGGAGGAGAAACCTCTTCCCCCTTCCCCCAGCTCTCCCCCCTCCCTCCAGTGTGCCTCGCTCCCTGGGGCCTCCTGGACAGTCAGGAACCTTCGTCTTCCAGAGATCTCACCCCCACCCTCACTGTTGCCCAGCCCATTGGGACCACTGTCCTGAGTCCCCAGCCGCCCTGGGAGCCCTCGAGCTGGGGGTGTTGGGGCAGAACTCTGCTCCCCAGGAGAGGCGGCAGTGGGACTGAGTGGGAGAGGGTCTCTAAGGGGATGGAGAGGAGAGGATGCAGCCCAGGGCAGGGAAGGCCCAGTGGGGCCCCAAGGGAGATGTGCCCCAGGTGGGACGGGCAGCCTGGCTCCGGCCCCGGTGAGGGAGTTGGGCTGAGGCCGGGTCCCGGCCTGGGTGGCCCCTCCCAGGGGCAGGGCGTGGGCGGCAGGGCCCAGGGCAGCCCTGATGCCGCCCGCCCGCCGCCCCGTCCGCAGGGCCTCGCTGTGGAGCTCCTGCGTGGTGCTGCCGCTGCTGGCGCTGACCTGGATGTCGGCCGTGCTCGCTGTCACCGACCGCCGATCCGCCCTCTTCCAGATCCTCTTTGCCGTCTTTGACTCACTGGAGGGCTTCGTCATCGTGATGGTGCACTGCATCCTGCGGAGAGAGGTGGGCCGGCGGGCGGGCAGTCAGCCTTCTCCAGGCGCCACCTCCCCACGTGCTGCGGCGGGAAGGTTCTGGGAGGAGGCCGGCTAGTGGGGAGGGGCTGCTTCCTTGGCCCAGACTCTTCCGCAAGGCTGGACTTGGGCCCAGCACGCGGCCAGGGCTGCCAGGAATGGTCACTCATTAAAGTGACAGCTTCTTCTAGAAGACGCCCTGGTGCCCCGCGCTGACTCAGACCAAGGTAGCGGGTGGGCTCTGTCCTCCCGGGGCCCAGGGGCATGGGAGCCGCCGGAGGTGGGAACAGCTCTTGTGGCAGCTGAGACTCCCGTTCTGGCATTTTCTGGGCTTCTCCAGGAGGTTCAAGAGAAGGTTTTTACCAAACCATCCCGACTGCCCCCTGACCGGTAGCAATGGCTTGGGATGGGCCCCTATGTGAGGCGGGTGGGAATGTGAAAAACCACGCCTCTGGACGTCGGCGCATGGGAGTCCACTTCAGGGTCGTGGGGAGAGCAGCGGGGAGCACAGGGCAGCCGAGGGGCCTGAGGCCGGAGCGTCCCCGGATGCCGAGGGAGAGTCTGGAGTGGACGACCGTCCATCTGTCTGGTGAGGCAGCACTGCCCACCCAGCTTCCCCCGCCTGGAACTTCCTGTCCGGGGGGTGGACACCAGGGCCCTGGCCTGGCGGCCTGCACAGCTGAAGATGGGGATGCCACGCTGGGAACAGCTGAGTGTCCCCCCAGCTCACACCTGGGGGAGACGGGCCACCCCTCTCCAGGGGCTCCCATTGCAGGAAAGACATGAGGAGTGAAGACCTGACATTTCTCATGTGGAAACAGCGTTTCCACCACCTGCAAATGTCCAGCCGGTCCCGAGCGTCCACTCTCAAGTCCTGAGGGCCTGAGGAGAGTCTCCCCGGGAAAGCCGCGGATCCGTCAGCACTGGAGCCACGGAGACAGCCCAGGAGGAGGCGACCTCACAGACCCACGTTGACGCCCTCGTGCCCCCGGCCCCCGACCTCCTCGCATTAGGGAGTCTCAGGACAGCCCCCCAAAGCAGCTACTGCCTGCTCCCCTTGGACAGACGGGGCGGGAGGGGGGCTGACCCAGGCTTGTGGTTCTCAGCTGCCTCGCTTCTGTGAAGCAAGACCCACAGCTGGGACGAAAGGACACCCTGAGAACGGAAAGGGAGTCTGCAGGAATTACAAGAGCAGGAATGGAAATGCTCAGTAGACAGGGCAGACAGAGGCCGTGTCCCTGAAAGGAGGGAAGGTGGAAAACGGAAAGTGATTAGAAGGTGGAGTCGGGTGAAGGAGCCCTGAGCGAGAACAGGAGGTGCAGAGGGAGGGCTTGCCGGGTGCCAGCACGGACGCGGGGGTGTCTGGAGCACCGGGTCGCTCCATCGGGAAACGAGAAGGTGGGGTCGGGATAAAGACCCCAAGCACGCCCGCGGGGGCTGGGCCAGAGGACACGCGGGCCAGACTTCTCTGTCTGCCCTCTGTGAGCTCTAGGGTCCTGTGTGCAGGGCCCGCGCTCAGGGGCCCTGCCGCCTGGGCCAGCTCGGCCGTGCTGGGGAAGATGGGCCAGGAGGGGCAGACAGAGGCCGGCCCCGGGGGCATGGACCGTTCCAGCAGGTGGACAAGCAGGGTCCTCGTCTGCGCCAGCAGAGCCTGGATGTCCTGAGGGGGGCAGAGTGGGGACGCTAGGCATCGGGGAACCCCAGCTGCTGTTCAGGCCAGCGTAGGACGTGCTCTCATGTCTGCCGTCCCCTGGGTGGAGGCCCACCCCTGCTGGGCACTTGGCAGGGCTTAGCGGGTGTTTGTCGGCCGGGTCAGCAAGTGCAAGGATGGGAGGAAGGCACACCTGTGGTGGGTGTGCTCTGAGTGTCCGGAGCTCTGAGGCCGGCAAGACCCTGGCCCTGCCTCTGACCAAGTCCCTCACAGCAGCACAGGCTCAGTGGCTGGGGTGAGTGGGAACAAGTCCGGGGGTCCATGGTGGGTCTACTGGGAGCCCTCCTCTCAGCTCTCCCCACCTTCACTCAGGACGCCTCCTCCAGGAAGCCCTCTGTGCTCAGCCCATCCCACCCTCCGTGCTTTAGCAGCCTGCACCTTCATTTATTCCCTTTGCTTCCCTCCGTGACCTCTGAAGCATTGGCTCCCTGAGGACAGGCACTTTGCTCACTGCTGCCCCCAGTGCCCGGCGCCTTCCATGGCAGGTGGAGGTGCCGCGCCCGTGGCTCTTGCCCGCATTGACCAGCAGCGTCCCTGGATAAGCGGGTCTCCTCCTCCTCCTCTGGCAGCTCCTTTCTGTTGACCAGCTCTGGGCTGGCTGCTCGCGTGGCCCCTTGCTTGGAGCCTCCCTTACCGTCCCCTCTGAAAAGTCCGAGGCCGTAATTGTTCATTTCCCTTTGGTGGAGCACGCTGGTCTCAGTGATAAGGGAGTGGGGGCCTGACCCCAGCTTGCCCCGGACATTCAGGGATGTGCAGGTCACGGTGACTCAGGACAGGTCTGGACACCAGGTGACCCACTTAGGCCAACAGTGGGCTCTTAACGACAGATTCCAGCTAGGAGGGCCTGCAGCGTATTCTCAGGGGCCCAGAACTCCATGTTTTTGAGTTTTCACCCAAAACGGGCATAGAGAGGGTGTCAAAGGTCAGAGGAGAGGCTGGGCCCCAAGCCTGGCTGCTGGCAAGGCTGCCCCGAGCCGCTGTCCCTTTTCCAGCTCGCAGATGAGCCTGTGCTCTTGGGAGCACCCCCTCCCGCACTGCAGGCCCTTCCCCACGGCACGTGGGCCCGTGTGCATCCGGGGCAGGGCTGCCCCTCGCTGAAATGCCGCCCTGGTGGGACTCAGCCTCACCTTCCTGGCATCGCGGTCACGGGGGGCGGGCTGCCCATCGACCGCCTCTGCTCTCACTCCCCAGGTCCAGGATGCTGTGAAGTGCCGCGTGGTGGATCGCCAGGAGGAGGGCAACGGGGACTCGGGGGGCTCCTTCCAGAATGGCCACGCCCAGCTCATGGTAGGGCTCGGGGCCGGGACGCAGGCTGCCCCTGCTTGGCACCCCCACTGGGCGTCTCCACCAGGCCCCAGCAGCCCAATTAGGAGGACCTCCAAGCCCAGTTTAAGGTTGGGGAAACGGAGGCTCGCCGAGGTGAAGTCCCCAGTCCAGGGTTTGGGGATGGGCAGGGTCCAGGTGACGAGGGATCTGGGCGGGGCTGGCGTCCACCCAAGCTTACCCCCTGGTACCAGCTGTGCCCTTTGGCCAGACACCACTCTCTGGGTGTCAGGCCCTCATCTCGGCTCCTGCCCCACTCTGTATGTCTTCCAGACTTCTCATTGCCCTCCACCCGGGACGGGCCCTAGCCTGTCCACTCACTCCCCACCCCACCATGGCCTCGTCCTCAACCAGATCCTCTAAGGACCTGACTCCCTGGTCTTCTGGCATTACACACACTGTCCAGCCCCAGGCACTGCACACCCTTGTCTGCTCCTGCTGCCCACTTTGTAGGTGTCACCTCCTCCAGGCAGCCCTCCCTGACCCCCATCAGGCCACCTGTTCAGACGTTGGTAACGTCCTGGGGGAACTCCCTGTGCTGTTATTGATGCCTGCCACCCGCTGGGTGCCCCCTGACAGGTGGGAGGTACTCCTTCAGTCTTTAGGTTGCTGGCCACCTCATGACGGTTGTGAGGGTCACAGGCAGGGCCTTGGCAGAAGCCAGCAGCCAGGCTCAGGGAGGCGTTTTCAAGGGTGAGGTGGGGGCCCACGGTGGAAGGAAGCCAGGTTCTGGACCTCCTGACACTTCTCCTGGCCTGATCCCTGACCTCTGGGCAAAGATCTTGTGATCTTCCCGACAACCTGACGTCTGCGTTTGCCAGGAAGGAACTTCCAGGCTTGACTGAGGGCCCCGCCATCCCCTGAGGCCCCACAGTCCCTGGAGAAGGCCACCTTCCAGCCTGGGGTGGCCCGAGCTGGGTTCCCCAACCGGCCGAGCTCCCTGAGGGCGGGGCCGAGGTCACCCACTTCCGCCTCCCCCAGCTCCTGGCCTGGGACGGGGCAGGTGCTGCAGCAGGCACCACGGCCAGTGCTCCAGGGGTAGCTGGTCCCGCCCTGGCACTGGACATTTGCGTCCCGACCCCACTCTGCCTCTGCTGGGCCAGCTGGTCTCCATTTCCTCGTCCCCAGGTCTGTGGTGAGGACCAAAGGGGTGACGTGGGACAGGCCCCCCCCTCCCGGCACATCAGTGGGTGGTGGTGGCCTGGGCAGCAGGGCCTCTGGCGTGGGGCCCTCTGTGTGTCCCGTCCCATTGGAGGGACTCGAGGCCAAGGGCATGAGTGAGCTGTGCCTAATCCACGAATGCACTGGAGGGAGAGCGTGCTCACACGTGCATGCACGTTCACACGCCCACAGCTGTGCACACGCGGCGCACAGGGGCACACGGGGCTTCGCTGTGGGTGAACACGTCAGCCCGTGGGCACCCTTGGCCCTCAGGAGCGTGCGCGTGCGCGCACACACACGGCATCACACGCGCCACTCCGAGGTGTGGCTGCAGCTCCAGGGCGGCCCTTGCCCGCAGCGGGGCAGCAGCCCAGCCCTGCCCGCTCGCCTTCGGGCTCACTCTGCCCCGTCTCTGCCTTGCAGACCGACTTTGAGAAGGACGTGGATCTGGCCTGTAGATCAGGTGAGCGCCTGACAGGTGAGAGCGACAGGTGGCCCTTCCCCGGGCCCACTGCCTTTTCTTTTCTCCGTGCGTCTGTCTGCTTGTCTGCTTGTTCGTCCTCATCCCACCCCCGCCAACCACCTCCATGCCTCCCATCCCCCAGCCGCTCCCCTGAGGCTGCCAGCAGGTCTGTGGGGGCAGGAGCAGAAGCCTCCAGAAGACTGTCCTGGGGCTCAGGCCTGGCAGGTGCGCTGCACGTCCAGTGGTGGTGGAGCCCTTAGCGCTGGAAGGAACCACCTGGGGCCTCCCCCGCCCCAGCCCTGGCCGTCTCCTCTCCCTCAGCCCGCCCCCAGCCCTCAGCCTACCAGCCTCCTTGTAGGGACAGTGAGGCTGGGCCAGCTCTGTGAGTCCCGGAGCTGCCCTGCCCCCTGCCCCGCCTCCACCCCTCCCCCACCCTGCCTGCCCTCCCTCAAGGGCCCATGTTCTGTGTTGCCTCCTTTTCTTCACTGTTACTCCAGCCATGGAGGAGGGTTTGGTCGAGCTTTCAGATTGGGGGCCGTTAGTGGAAGCAGGAGGAGAGCAGTGAGAAGGACCCACTGCTGGGCCCCAGGCTTGCCATGAGCTTCTTGGAAGAAGGTGCAAAAGGGAATCAGTCGCCTAGTAGAAGGAAGCTGCCAGGCATCGCTCTTATGAGCCGGGAGCTTGGGGCAGGGAAAGGCAGTGTCTGGGGCTGTGGACGACTAGCTGGTTTTGGTTCCTCTGCTCTGTCAGATGTTTGTGGAGCATCTTTCCTAGAGATAGCCACGGGGAGGGGCTTACAGCCCTGGGTGGCGAGAGTCTGCTGCTGCCAGGTGGACCCCAGGAAGCCTTCCTTGAGGAGGTGACCTCTGGCTTGGGCTGGACAGGACGTGAACAGAGCATCCTTCCTGCCCCATCTTAGTCTTGTGTGCTCTAGCCAACCTCCCTGAGAGGAGAGGTGACCCCAAGACTTAGGGGCCTTTGGGGGCTTGGGCACAGCCCTGGGTAGTACCGGCCTCTCTGAGCCTCCAGTTCCTTCGTCATTAGTAACATGGCCCAGCCTGGCCCTTGGGCTCAAGAGGAGTGAGCGGCCTGCAGCTGTGGGCGGGTGGTGCTGGGTGGAGAGAAGGTAGAGACCGGCACGGGGCAGCTGGGGGCCCCGGCGAGCGCACAGGAGGCCTCCTGCAGCTGGATCTGAGCAGGGAAGGCCCACGGGGCTCGACACTGGCTCTGACGTAGACAGCCGGCGGGAAGGGACACACAAGGGAGAGGCAGCGAGGGAGGGAGCCTTTTCTGACCCTGACCCTGACCCTGACGCGAGGGGTGGGAAGCAGGTTTGGCAGGGAAGATGGTAGGTTCGTTGGGCCATGGGGACTGGGGGCAGAGCAGGACTGCAGACCTGGGTGCTGGTGTTGGCATCCGGAGGGTGGAGAAGAGAAGGAGCCCGAGACCTCTGGCCATCGGGGAGGTGGAGGAGGAGGACCAGGGCGGGCAAGTGACCAGCGGCCTGGGCAGCTCGGAGGGTGTGTGCTGAGTAGGTCGGCCGCGGGGAGCAGCTGGTGAGCTCTGGAGGCCGGGCGAGGGTGTGACGTGGGGGCCTGTCCACCCAGCAGTGCCAGCGTGGAGAGGGTTTCCAGAGGATCAGCCCCTAGTGGGCTGTGGACTGCAGCTCTGGGCCCTCTGTGGGCCAGTGGAGGCTGCACTGACTGGCAGGGGCGAGCCGGGCGGTTGGCAAGCCTGAGCCCAGGTCGGAGGTCCAGGCAGCCTGGTTCCCACTGCTGAACAGAAGAGAGGCTGGGCCCCCGGGAACAGCTGTCCCGCCCGCAGTGAGGGGCTGGGTCCCTACACTTCCAGGCGGCCCGGGCCGCCTCTCACTTGCCCTTCCCAGCTACTGTGGGTGGAGATCATTTGTCCTCTTGTGGAGAGGACAGAGAGGCGCCCCTGCGTCCCAGCCTTGTTTGAAAGGACAGAGAAGCTGCTGCAGCACCGAGCACAGGGCGGGTGCCCAGATCCGCCAGGAGGTCAGACCCAGCGGGACCCGGAGCCCCCTCCGCCTCCGGCCGCCCTGACCCCCCTCGCCTGTCCCTACAGTGCTGAACAAAGACATTGCAGCCTGCCGCACAGCCACCATCACGGGCACGCTCAAGCGACCATCTCTGCCCGAGGAAGAGAAGCTGAAGCTAGCCCACGCCAAGGCGCCCCCCAACTTCAACAGCCTGCCGGCCAACGTGTCCAAGCTGCACCTGCACGGCTCGCCCCGCTGCCCCGGCGGCCCTCTGCCCGACTTCCCCAACCACTCGCTGACCCTCAGGAAGGACAGGGTGCCCAAGTCGTCCTTTGTCGGCGATGGGGACATCTTCAAGAAGCTGGACTCGGAGCTGAGCCGAGCCCAGGAGAAGGCCCTGGACACGAGCTACGTGATCCTGCCCACAGCTACAGCCGTGCTGCGGCCCAAGCCCCAGGAGGAGCCCAAGTACAGCATCCACATCGACCAGATGCCCCAGACTCGCCTCATCCACCTCAACATGGCGCCCGACGCCGGCCTCCCCGCCCGCAGCCCGCCCTCCCGCCCCCCCCCCCCGGGGCCCCCCACCCCCCCCCCCCCGCCCCCGCCCCCGCCGCCCCCGCCCCCTCAGCAGCCCCTGCCCCCTCCCCCCACCCTGGAGTCAGCGCCCCCCAGCCTGGGGGAGCCTGGGGAGCCCGCTGCCCACCCGGGGCCCAGCACGGGGGCTGGGACGAAGAATGAGAACGTCTCCACCTTGTCCGCGAGCTCCCTGGAGGTAAGGGCAGCCTTGGGGGCTAGTGGACAAGGGACAGGTGCGTTGTGGGCACTGCGGGTTTGGGCGGTGGCTCCACGGGTGGGGCTCGCAGCCAGCCTCAAGGAGCCCAGGCCTGGGAAGCCCGGGGGCCAGCATCACCCCTGTTGGAATGAGTCCTGTTGGCAGGAAGGGAACCTGAGGCCTGTGTAGGGGAGGACTTGCCTTCCCCTTCCCTTCCCCTTCCCCTTCCCTTCCCCTTCCCCTTCCCCTCCCGGCGAGTGGCAGGGCTCTGCCTGGAGGGGGCAGCATCTACCTGTTCTCCAGCCACGCTCCGCGCACCGCCGGGCCTGCTGGGCCACCGTGACTGGGAGCTTGTGCCTGTGCTGAAATGGCCACTTGTCAGGTGGTCGCCCTCGGTGGTGGTCTCACCCATCACTTAAGGGCTCGAGAGCTTTCGGCCTGGACACTGAGCTAGACTTGAAGCGGCTTGAGTCTAGTTCCTTCCATGGTTGGGCACTCAGCGGCAGCAAGGCTCCCTTAGACCAACCTAAAACCTGCAGTTGACCCCCGAGCCCTGCTCAGCCTGTAGGACAGGGCCTCAGAGACGGCAGGGGTGGGGAACAGCCAGGCCCAGCACCCTCGGGGAGCCCCACCCTCCCCAGGCTGGGTTCCCACCTCCTGGCTCATGGCCTCTGGTGAATGCAGCCCCGGGTACCAGCTCTGTGGCCGGCCAGCAGTGCCACAGCCTTGTGTCCAGGTCTCCTTGTGCCTGGGAGCGGGTCCTGGGCCGCCTGAGCTGGATACCCTTGCCCAGCCCTGGCACTGGCCTCAGGGTGGCACAGAAGGTGAATGAGGGTTCGTCCACAGGGTGCCCCTGCCTTCTGGGTCCTTGGGCTTCTGTTTCCTTACGTCCAGTGGCCCTTCTTTCTATCCACCCTCTTCTTCCAGGGTCCCCGGCTGGGCTCCCGGTGTCTCTGGGCAGGGTTGGCCTACAGGGGGCTTGGGCACTGAGACCGATAGCTTCAGTGTAGTCAGAGGTGTGTTTGCCAGGACCAAGGGTGGGCAGGGGTGAGGGGGTCCCTGGCCTCCCTCATCCTCAGGCAGGAGCTTGTGGTCTGGGGGATTTGGGGAACTGCTTGCGAACGTGCACAAATCCCTTCTCCCCACAGAGGCGGAAATCGCGCTATGCGGAACTGGACTTTGAGGTGGGTCCTGGCGTCCCCCTGTCCCGATTACCTGGGCCCAGGCTTTCCAACAGGCAGGGAGGGGCTGGGGAGGAGGACCCTGCCCTGACGGGGAGGCCAGTCCCCAGGAGCCTCCGCTGGGCGGGGGCGGGGGCGGGGCAGGGCAGCCCCTCTCCCGGCTCAGGACCGCCGCCCCTCCTCCCCCCGCAGAAAATCATGCACACCCGGAAGCGGCACCAGGACATGTTCCAGGACCTGAACCGGAAGTTGCAGCACGCCGCCGAGAAGGACAAGGATGCGCCGCTGGGCCCGGACAGCAAGGTCTGGAGGGCGGGGCTGAGGGTGGGGAGGGGGTGGGGGGCAGGGTCTCAGGGGCGGAGCCTGGGCGGGGCTGTGGGACAGCCCTTAGGTAAGCTCTTCTCTCCTTCCTCCGGCCCTACTTCGTTCGTTCATTTGTTCCTTCACTCAACCTTTCCCAAGGACTGGCCTGACCCAGCCTATGCTAGACCCTAGAGGGACAGGGCAGGTGGATGGGTCTGTCCCAGGGGCCATCTAGAAGCTGGGTTGTGGCTGGGCTGGGGGAGCCTGGGTAAGCTGGACTCAGAGCCAAGCGAGGGGTGCTGGGTGGGAGGCGGCCTCCAGCTGCCCTTCCCTGCAGGCCAGCCCGACTCACCCAACGGCAGGGGTCACGACCCTCGCACGGTCCAGGAAAGGCTCTGCGCCCGCGCTCACCCGTCCGTGCCGGGGTCTCCTTGCCGCCCGCACCTACCCTTCCTCACTATACGCCTTCTTTTCTCCACTCCCCATCCGTTCTGCTCTGTGTCTCTACGTCGGGGCCCTCACCCGCTCCGCTGCCCGCCGGCCAGCAGCCAGAAAAGCAGCAGACGCCCAACAAGCGGCCCTGGGAGAGTCTCCGAAAAGCGCACGGGCCCCCCGCCTGGGTGAAGAAAGAGCTGGAGCCGCTGCCGCCATCACCGCTAGAGCTGCGGAGCGTGGAGTGGGAGAAGTCGGGCGCCACCATCCCGCTGGTGGGTCAGGACATCATCGACCTCCAGACCGAGGTCTGAGCGGGCGGGCGGCGGCCACGCACCGGGCCACGGAGGAGGGATGCTGCTCTGTCCGCTCCTGCCACAGGACGGGCACAGGCACGCTCACGGGCGGCGGGCAAGGCCCGCGCCCCGGCCTCAGGGCGCTCGGACGGCGGCCAGGCAGAGGCCCGCAGTGCTGGGACCAGAGCCAGACGGGACAGGAGGCGGCGGCCCCGGTGGGCACAGGGCTCCGGAGGCCCGAAGGTGCCTCAGACTCTGCCCTCCTCCGGCCCAGCCCCGGCGGGCGGGCAGGCCACCGTGGACAATGGCCAGGCCAGGTGCGCCCAGCATCCCTGGGGTGCCCACCTGAGCTGCTGCAGCAGAGGACCAGCCTGCTTGGCCTGGCCAGCCTGGCACCGTTTTTTAGATCCCCCCATCCCTCGGGAAGCAGCCAGCCCCCCCGCACCCTTCCAGGGCCCAGGGGCCCCTCCCCAGACCCAGGCGGAGAGCACAGCCCTCCCACCTACACCACCCCAGGGGCAGGACCAGAAGCCCACTCCAGGAAGAAGCAGGGGTGGGGAATCTATTTTTTCTCTCCTTTTCTTTTCTTCAATAAAAAGAATTAAAAACCCACGTCCTCACTGTGTGGCCCTCCTCTGTGCGGCACGCAAGCCAGCACCCTGGCGGGCTAGGGGTGGTCTTTGCTGACCTCGGTCCCTGGGTCCGGGGGGACTGGGGAGGCCTAGTGGGCACCGCGCCCCGCCTGCCGTCAGGCCCATTTCTGAGCCTGAGCTCTGAAATGCTCGCCCAGAGAGTGCAAGTGCGGGATCCCGCCTCTCCTCCGTGCTTCCAGCAGGGGGCAGCCGGAGCTGCCGCAGGGAGCTGGCTAGAGAACTTCCAGGCTTGGGGGTGGAGGGCGGCTATGCAGATCCTCTCCCCTCAGGCTGTGCACCCCACCCCGGGAAGCCAGACAGAACCCCTGGGCTCCGAGAGGCAACAGACAGAGGCCACCTGTCCAAAGAGGAGGTGTGCAGGTGGGCCATTTGGAGGCCCAGCACCCCGAGATTATGGGCCCCCAACCGTGTGATCCAAGATGAAACCGATGGCAGGCCCAGCAGAAAGGCCGGGGGCACTGCCTGGCACGGGGTTCCCATGGCGGCCTTGCTCTCCCCATTCAGGGCTCAGCTTGTGGGAATCTCACCGGGCGTGGATGCGCCTGTGACCCACCCCCCATCCAGAGTCCTCACCAGCAGGTGAAGATGGGATGGGGAGGGGCTTGCTGGGTGCTGCCTCCTGCGTGAGTGACCACAGTGACCGTGGGTGATCACGAATGACCGAGGATGGAGAGAGACACTGGTGACCACGCATGCCTGGGAGGGGCTGAGTGACTGTGACCGTGAGTGACCACAAGTGGCCCAACATGAGTGGACAACAGCGAGGGAGGGAAGTGTGGCCACAGCAGCAGCCGCAGGAGGATGTGATGCTAAGCCCTCCGGTCCCACGCGGCCAGCGCTCGGGAACCAGCGCTTCACGAGGGCACATAGTGTCTGAGTCCGATTCTCAACACTTCAAAAAGCCAAAATTGGTGAGATTTGGCAGCAAGACCTGACCCAAACTGAAGCTTGTTATAGCTCATTTGAACCACTAAATGCACGTATGCACATTTTAGCGTGTCCCCCGGGGTGTTCAGTGAAATCTCACACACGCACTGTCCTAGCTCTAAACCCAGAGAGCCCATCTGGTCTGGGGTATTCAGATGAGGGCCGTGGCCTGCGCCGGCTTCCTCATCCTCTGGCTGTTACAGAAGGAAGCCAGAGGGTACCTAGGAGCAGAGGGTCCAGGTGGACGGTGTCCCGAGCCCCCAGCGACGCCCTCTGCTAAGGTAGCACAGAGCACCAGGCCAGGGTCTGCAAGGCTGGCTTTCTGCAGAGGGCTCACCACCGTCCTTGTGGAGTGACCAGCGCGAGGTCTTGCCAGCTCCCTGACCTCCCTTGCCCTGTTCATGCCCAGCACCACGTGCAAAAGAAAAACTGAAAGAAAAACAAAAAAGACAAGAGGCACCCAAACCACACACTCCCTGCCTCCAAAAGGAGTGACTCCGGTGGTGTGAACCGCTGGTGTCAGGGCTTTGGCGTGGGACCAGGCTCAGGATTTAGTGAGAGGCCAGGCTCAGGGGTCAGCATGTGACCAGGGTCAGGGCTCAGTATGGAACAAAAGTCAGGGTCAGCATGTGACCAGGGTCAGGGCTCAGGGTGTGACCAGGTCAGAATCATTCTGTGACCAGACTCCAATTTCCCCTCCATCCTAGGTCCTCTTTGCAAGAAGACTGTGTCTTTCTGAGATAGCCACACACTTTGTTCTGCCTGGGCCCCACGTTCACAGTGGTTCAATGCTCTGTGACAGCCTGGCATGGTGACAAGTCACAGAAGTTGCTCTCTGCTCTCTTGCTCTCACTGCAAGAAGCCTGCCAGGGATGTTCCCACAAGACTTGCCAAAACCCTCGGGCCCTGCCTCGGGTCCTCCATCACCTTCTGGTGGTGAGCCCTGTGCTGGGCAGCATTTCGGGCCAGAGACAGTGAGGTGCTCAGAGCTGGGGCAGGGACCACTGCAGGTTGAGGTTTGCCTCTGTATTCATCCACCTGTTCAGACTGCTGGGCTCCCGACGCGGGACAAGGGCATTGGTCCTGATGGATCTGCAGACGAGAAAGCTGAAGCTCACGGCGGTGAGGGGATGCTGCCACTGCTTCACGTGTAGTGAGGGTGGGACTGCGTCTGAACCCAGCTCTCCTGGTTCTAATTCCTGGATCCTCCCCTCAATGGGTAGACTACCCAAGGGCAGCCACGCCACCTGTCACTGGTGAAGCTGAGAACACGTCCTCTGCTACCCTTCATCTGCCATCAGCAGCACCACCATGCCCAAGGGGGGTGGGGCTGAGTGAGGTGTGGTTACCATGACGAGCAGGGACATATGCAGCCCAGGGTGGTGGTAACAGTTCTGTGGATGGAGCTGCAGGTCTTAGTGGTCATGCTGGGGGTGGTGATGCTGCTGATGGTGGTCGTGGTGGTGAAGGTGGTGGTGATGGTGGTGGTGGTGGTGGTGGTGG